ATCCTTCTTGTCTTGTCTTGTCTTGTCTTGTCTTCCATAGTCAACATTCGATGCATCCGAGGCGGGGATCGTTGTCCTGTACTGTCGTGTTCTGTCCGTCTTGTTCTGTTGGTTGCGCGAGATGTGGTGTGCTGGGTTTCGCCCGTCTTGTCTTGTCTTGTCTCGTCTTGTCTTGTCTTCCATATAGTCTTGCGCTTCCGAAGCATTCGCTGCATCCGAGGTGGTGTTCTCTGCGGTTGCGCCGGATGTAATGTTTCTTCTCTCGCGCTCACTTCCTGCCGCTGCAGCTACGAAACAGCATGACCTCATCTCCTTTTTTAACCGCAGCTATTGTTGCTTGTCTTTGCAACAGTTATGTGACGAAGTGCATGTCGACTGCACAAGCTCGCACGAAGTGTGGATCCTCCTCCTCCTCCTCCTCCTCCTCAACATCATCATCTTCCTCCTCCTTGACATCACCATCCTCAACATCATCAGCCTCCACCTCATCTTCCGCAACATTATCATCCTTTTCATCATCCTCCACTTCATCTTCCGCATTATCATCCTCACCCTCATCCTCCTCAACTTCATCATCCTCCACATCATCATCCTCACCTCATATTCCTGCACCTCATCATCCCCAACATCATCATCCTCAACATTACTGTATCATCCTCAACACCATCGTCCGCAACATTCTCATCCTCCGCCGCCTCCTCCCCATCATCATCATCATCATCATCCTCATCATCCTCATCATCCTCATCCTCAACATTATCCTACATTATCCTCCCATTCCCCCACGCTGTTTGGGGTCTCTTGCCGGGATAAATTTGATACACAATACTTTTACACAGTGCTTTTACATGCAATTTCTTTGACGCAGAGATTCTTCTACCCGCAAATAGTTTTACACAGAGATACTTTAGGACTACACGATGATGTTTTTCTTACCCAGGCATTTTTCACGCACACAAACACACACACACACACCCGCGCGCGCGCTTTAACATGGATGTTTTTCAACGCACACGCTTTTACACAGAGATAGTTGTACGCAGAAATACGTTTACACAGAGATGCTTTCACACAGAGATGGCACACACAGAAACACTCTTACACACACACACACTTTTATTCAGAGATCATTTTACGCTGAGCAGCTTTACACACAGATACCATCACACACAGAGGTGCTTTTACAAAGGAATGGATTTACACGAGGAGCTTTTATATACGGATGTTTTTGCACAGGCGTACTTTTGCATGATTTCAGACGGCGGGCACGCATTTCGCGCTACAAGAGTTCAGCAAGCAGATGTAAAACCGCACTTTCACCGCAGCTTTTAACGATCGAGACGCATTTCGCGGGAAAGGGTTGACCCAGCGAAGGTCCACATTGCAATTTCATTTCAAGTTTTCGCGATCAACATTTCGTGCCAGCGGGTTGCGTTTTGTGGACATCAATCCACGCTGCCCTGCCGCCCTAAGAGAAAACTTAGAAGAACTTTGCAACTTGTAGGTGTCTTTACAGTAAGAAGTTGATCTCCACCTGCATCTTAACATCTGCCACTTAAATATATCCACTCTCTGTTTTTTAAAGAAGTTGATTTCCGCCTGCGCCTATGTACGAGTATCTGCCGCAATACACCAGCATATTTTCATATGGTAGTTGTGTTAAAGAAAATTATATGTACCTGCGTCTATGTACCTGCACCAAAGCGTCAACAAGTATATGTATATATACACTTGCATCTACAATTGTGTATAACCATGACATTCTGTAGATGTGTTAAAGAAGATCATGTCCTCCTGCGCCCGTGCACGTGTTGGAATGTGTCGTAAATGAAAAGTGAGGATGTGAAGGATGAGTATTCTTGGTGGTGATGATGATGATAATGGTGCTGATGGTGGTGATGATGATGATTATTAAAATAGTAATGATGATGATCATCATGATGATGAAGGTGATGATGATGATGATGATGGTGCGGGCATGGTTGATGTAAAAGAAAATGATGAAGAAACATGATGTTGGCGTTGTGTTGTTGTCGTTGTCGTTGTCGTTGTGGTTGTGGTTGTGGTTGTGGTTGTGGTTGTTGTGGTTGTGGTTGTGGTTGTGGTGGTTGTGGTGGTTGTGGTGGTTGTGGTGGTTGTGGTTGTTGTGGTTGTTGTGGTTGTTGTGGTTGTTGTTGTTGTTGTTGTTTTGTTGTTTTGTTGTTGTGGCTGTGGCTGTGGCTGCGGCTGCGGCTGCGGCTGTGGTTGTGGTTGTTGTTGTTGTTGTTGATGTCGTTGTTGTTGTTGTTGTTGTTGTTATTATTGTTGTTGTTGTGACGGTGTCGCGACGGTGTTGTGACGGTGTCGTGACGGTGTCTTGACTTGTGACGGTGTTGTGATGGTGTTGTGACGGTGTTGTGATGCGAGGAGATGGTGATGCGAGAAGATGTTGATGGTAAAAAATGATTATGACGAAGTGTGTTGGCAACAATTGTTTGGTGTCTGTCGTCCTGTTGGTGTCTTGGTGGTCTCTCAATTGTGTTTCGGTGGTCGTTGGTGTCTTGGTGGCCCTTTGGTGGTATGTCCGTAGTGTCTTGACAGTGCTCGGCGATGTTTTGGTTGTCTTGCTCATGTCTTGGTGGTGTTTCTGTGGTGTCTTGGCGGTGTTCCGGGGTGGTGTCTTCGTGGTTTCTGAGGAATGATATTTTTTTGACTAAGCTGGCTCGCCTGTCAATACCAAATTGGCGTCAAAGGAATGAAACGCGACACTTTGCTATCGGGGTTGTATGCTGGACTAATTTCAACTGGGACAACATTTTCTTGAGAGTCAACCATCCATCAACCATTCATCAATAATAACCACTAATCAAACTCTTCCACAAACCATCAAGTACCCATTGATAACCCATGAGTTAAACGTTCTTTAACCGTGGTTTACCCAATCAATCAACCATCAATCTACCATTAAGCATTGATTAGCCAGTAATTCAGTACTAAATCATGAATTCCAACCATTAGTCAAGCCTTTTCGGACAGCAAAATTAGTCCTAATCCCAACCGCCGTTCATAGTTAGACACCCCAATTGTATGGTCCCAGTCGTAATGTGATGTTATTCCCTACATCCACCATGGCTTCTGGCGGGTGTTTAACCGAAGGAAGTTTAGAAGTCAAACTTCCGACAATATGGACAGATGAAAAGCAGAGCAGGGCAGAGGCAGAGAGAAGAGAACGATTAGAAGAGAGAAGAGTAGAAGAGAAAGAGTCAGAAGAAAGAAGATGCAGATGCGCGAAAAGGTATGTTTTTCCAATGATTTGAGGCTCCGGAGGGTCGAAAAGTAGGCTCGCTAAAGCGGCAGGTGCGGAGCCAGCTGGCCAGATGAGAGATGAACAATTGCACGCCATTGTGGCGCGACGCACATTTCGAAGTCAAAATGTACAAAACACACCATGTTCAGACCACTTTTGGAAGTTGAGATGTCGAAAAAGTGCACGCCGTTGTGGCGCGAAGCACATTTCGAAGTCAAAATGTTAAAAGCACCACATGTTCGCGCCACTTTTGGACGCTCAGATGTCGATCTTGCCAAAAGTGAGCAAAGCGTGAGGGTTTTGTAGCATTTCCAAAAACGATGGCAGGCGTGGGACTTTTGAAGAGGATCTGCAAAGATGCATTTTCCGTGGCAGGCGCAGTACAAAAGACATGTTCATGAGAGATGTTAGGATGCATTTTGGAGCATCAGATCTGTAGGTTTGCTAAGATGATTTTGCGTGACAGGTGCAGCACTTCGTATGACTTGGCATCAATTTTTCGTGGCAGGCGCAGTACTTTAGATAGGTGGAGTAGAAAAAATGCAAAACGCATTGGTACGAGGCTGTCAGCGCTGCACTCAACTTTCCATTTTTGAAGGAAGTCTCGCAGAATTGTTTTGTTTTTGATGTTGTCAAGTTCAAAAATTGAAGAAGTCTCGCAGAATTGCTTCGTTTTGGATGTTGTCAAGTTCAAAAAAATGAAGAAGTCTCGCAGAATTGTTTCGTTTTTGACGTTGATTTAAAAGCTTACAGATAGACAGGTAGATAGACAGACAGACAGACAGAGAGAGAGAGAGAGAGAGATAAATAGATAGATAGGTCGGTAGATATGTAGATAGATAGATAGATAGATAGATGGATGGATGGATGGATGGATGGATGTATAGATAGATAGATAAGATAGATAAGATAGATAAGATAGATAGATAGATAGATAGAAAAGATAAGATAAGATAAGATAGGATAAGATAAGATAAGATAAGATAACATAAGATAAGAGTAGATTATATTAGATTAGATCAGATTAGATTAGATTATATTAGACTAGATTAGATTAGATCAGATAGATAGGTATAGATAGATAGATAGATAGATAGGTATAGATAGATAGATAGATAGATAGATAGGTATAGATAGATAGATAGATAGATAGATCGATCGATTGATAGATAGATAGACAGATAGAGATAGATAGAGATAGATAGAGATAGATAGAGAGAGAGAGATAGATAGATAGCTAGCTAGCTAGCTAGATAGATAGATAGATAGAGATTTAGATAGAGATTTAGATAGATAGATAGATAGATAGATACATAGATAGATAGATAGGTAGATAGATAGATACATAGATAGATCAGTAGGTAGGTAGGTTGATAGTCAGAGAAAGAGAGCAAAAGAGAGAGAGAGAGAGAAAGAGTGAGAGAGATCAAGCACCTTTCAGTCCATCAGCGGCTTCGCTCTGCCATCCCTGATTCACAACAACCAACTTCTCCTATAGGTTTCCTATGTTTGAAACTTCCGCCACCGCCTTGTGCGGTACTACTGGTATTGTTGCTTACTGTATACTATATCTACATATAACATGTATGTGCACATATCTCCCATTGTAATTTTCATAATGATTGCTCGAAAATCCCCGCATAAGCTGATCTATATATATATATACACTGTAATATTCATATGATATGTTCATAATGATTGGTATCTTCCCATTTTACATTCCCATGTTATTCGTATATCCCATAGATCTTTCCGATTCGGAGCTCCCGGAAGCCCACCTCCAGAGACCTCGTTGCAAGGCCCGCAGCACTCGATCCACCACCAGGTCCAAGGCCACGAGCTCCGTATGGCGGTGACGCCAATTGCCCAGGAAGGTGCTCAACAGCACTGGGCGAAAGGGCGCATGGCCGTTGCCTGATAGAAAAAGGGAGTTCTTTGAGATGTGGATGATATGGGTTCTAAAAATATGATGTGTATATGATGTATATATGGTGATGGTGTTGATGATGATGATGGCGATGATGGCGATGGTAATGATAATATATTATGCAAGATTCTTGAGTATTGACAAATGATAGGGATTGATGAGAAGGACTGATGATAAGGATACCCAGAGAAGCCATTTACATAAGGATACATGTAGGAAGTAGATAGGAAATAGATAAGGAAAAATCAAGGCCTTTTGTGGTACCTTCTGCCGGATCTTTGCTCTGGATGCTATGATTCAGCAAAAACGTGGCTTTTGGCATGCTTGATCGACTCCTGCTCCAGTAGAAAACTTGCCTACGTCATCATGTCACCCCTAGACCTCTTTGCACTTGGACTTTGTAATCCAACTCTCTGTTCTTGACAGGCTCAAAAGTGAAACAATCATCAACAACCTAAACAATACATAGACACTAATATGTACATGTATATATAAATATGTGTGTATGTATACATGTATACATATATATATTATAAATGTATATACATATAATATATAATATATTATATGTATATATATATGTATAAGAACAATACTGATATTAATGATAATAATGACAATAATGGTAATAACAGTAGTAATAATGATTGTAATTGTAATAGTAATAACAACAATAACACTTATAATTTATAATGCTAACACAAATAAATAAACATAGTACTAATCATAGTAATATTACGTAATATTATATATATATGTATGCGCACTAGCTTAATCCGTATGAATATGTCAAAATTTGGCTCAAGAAATCACGCATTTGGATCATTTGGCAGGATCTTCCAGCTCTCGCCTCCAGGCAAATCCACGATCTGTTCTCGCCAGACTTCAGCCTTGAAGCGACGTTGGTTTGCTTCATCATCTTCCTTGGGATGTGCTGGTTCGACCAGCAAGGCATCCTGGCATCGGAGCAAAACTGAGACAAAAAATCGGTTTAAGTCTAAGACTAGCGTAGATAGTAGTCCATTTCGTCCGCTGGCGAATCATCAATTTCCATCAATTTCCCATAATTTCCGTATGAAAATAACTATTTTGGGGGGTTTCCTTAATTTTCAAACACAACTGGATCCACACCACTGCCTCCAGAACCAGCTCCTCCGTGGCCAACACCAAGCGAAAGCGCAACCAGCTGGATACCCATCGAGCTGCTGGTAAGACCTGGTCATGGCCCGTGGCTTTCAGATTCCTTCGGGGATTCCTTTGTTAAGTCGTTGAGTCTGAGTTGACTCCTGGGTCTAATTCTGTTGAGAAATCTAGAGGCTGGATGAAACATCTGTTCACATCTTTGCCAATTTTCGAATGTTTTCCAAGGGGCCGAGATCAACAGCTTCTCTCCATAGCGTGACAGCAAAGACTCCTCATTTGTCACCAGAATCATCCAACTAAACCTTCAGACCTCAAAACTTTTCGGTTTGACAAAAACATCAAAAACCAAGTGGCACTTGTTGGCTTGTCAAAGTACAAACACTATATTCACTAATATTCACTAATATTCACTAATATTAACTATAATACCAATTTCAGCTTTTTGGGGCTAACCCTACTGATGAACCATCCAGGGGGCTTTAACCCAGCTGTGGCATTATCTATTTCAGAATTTACCATCCGCTCAACTACCATAGATCCTCAGGATCGCCCATTTTTGGCAGGGTCCGGACTGTATCTGACTGAATTCCTATGAATTACTTACAATTCCTTCTATTGACTCTCCGTTTCAAAGAATCTGACTACCTTTGAAGCCATTTTTAGTCAAAGCTCCGCGTCAGTGCCCACGTAGTGCTGAAGCAGTGCCTCCTCATCACGCCAGGGAAAACGCAGCACACCCGCAGACTCCAAGAGCTCTTGGGTGTAGTCGGGTCCCACCTGTGAGCCACAGCAAAAACCCGGCACTTTAAGACTCTGTATTTCTCAGCTTTAACAGACTCTGACAACAGTGGATGAAACTTATCTTGAGACACTTTGATGATTTTGATAGATTCTGGGATTTTGTCCAAGATCAGAGCAGCTCTGCCGACAAAGCGTACAGTATCCATTGGAAATCCAATTTCCCCTCCAGCACCTGATAAAGGTCCCAAGCTGCAAAGTCTTTCTGGTACTGCGTAGGACTTGGAATGTTTGTGCTGGGTGACAGCGACATCCTTGGAATCAACCAATCCATCAGAAACGGATTGCCTTTTCCAGAAGCTATCAACGTCAACGGAAAAGGGGAAAGGGACGGGTCCCAATATGC